CAATATACACCCCCACTTTCTTTAATTTTACCCCATGACAGACGGCACTCTGTATTTCCGGTAAACATGACTGCGCAACTTCCCGTTGCCCCTAAAATGCTCTCCTCTGGCCTTCCCGACAAGGAGGAATTAACGTGGAAAGAACAACCAGGTGGAAAACAGTACTTTTTCTCAGCATTTTACGATGACCGCGAGGGAGGACACGTTCGAATTGTATCACTTGTAGACAGAGAGACTAAACCACCGAAATTCTGCAGAGTTTGGTACCAAGAAGCAGGTAAAACTGGACTCAGTGGTAACCTGTCTACTAATGGAAATGTAGTGCGACCGGCAAAGCTTGAGCGAAATCCAAAGAGGGGAAAGTAAGTTGACATGACACGTATTTAGAAGGGATGGTCTGGGAGTTTGCTTTTGCACGAGGAAGGCCCTGTTTGAATCAAAATTTGATCCAAGGTCTGTGCTAATAGGGCCTACTGTAAAAGGTTCATAATTTTCAGAAAAAAAAAGAATCTCAGCTTTTAAATTGCCAGCGCTGGCCTTCTTCTTCTTCTTCTTCTTCTTTTTCCAGGGGGAGGGGTTGAAGTTTTGTTTATTTATCTTTATTGCGGTAGGGGGAGAATAAAGAGACGGAGGTAACTCCGGGATTCTAGGTGGTTGTGTGTGTACGTCTGGGAGGGGGATCCAGGACTAGTGAATTCTACCAAGATCCACCAAATATCTGCTTGACCTCATGTTCTGACATTCTTAATAAAGCTGTGTATATTTACCAATGTATTCATCGATTAAGTTGTTCGTTCATCTTTTTTATTGTTTTCGAAAACCAAGGTGTGAAAAAAGATCAATGTAAGGTCTGTTCAGTTTATTCTATTTATTCATTTTAGATATTCTGCATCTCTTTACCATTGCGATGTGAAAGGATTACCAAAGCCGCTGGCCGTTTCCTTGATGGAAGACCGGCACTCTGCTCACGTGGGCAATGTCCCCATTCTCAAGGTGATCGACAAGAGTAGGCCAAGCAATTGGGATGCGAACAAGCTGAGACGGAAGATCGGAGTTTGTGTAGAGACCGCCCTTTTTGAATATAGTAACTTCATGCGTTTGATAGAGTTTGTTGAGGTTTACCGGACACTTGGAGCGGAGCATTTCATCTTGTATAATTACACTGGTGATCCTGTGATGAATCCGGTTATCCGGGCGTATGTTCAACAAGGTAAGGGGGTAATTTTGGCCATCCTTTGTTGAATTATCCGTTTCTTTTTCGCTTCTTTTACTTTCTTCGTCTTCATCAGAAATCTGATAGGTATGCCAATTCATTGTTACCTTTCCTAAAGTTTAATTAGTCAAAGACTCCTACAGTCACATTATTATAAAGCACATATCCTGGAAATACAATAGGATGACATAGTATTGCACGAATCGTTTCGCTTGGAGTTGAACAACAGTGAGATTTCTTAAGGGTTTTAAGGAGGTGTTTTATTGAAAAGTGAATGTCAAGTTAGTATCTTAACTTTAGTTTTTCAGACAAGTGCTTTGCTTTTTACGAAAAGCGTGTTATTTATTTTGTTAGTATCAACCTTTTGTAGGATAGCAACGTGATTTCAATATAGCCTCCTCCCTTTGGACAAAGATTTCTAAATATTCAACTATGGTTTGAGGACTATGTTGACCCAGGCTCAAAAATACTTTGGATAAAAGAATTTGTACAAAAGGGGCGATTCAGTGTAATTCAGTGTAACGCTTGTGGTTCAGCTTTCAATTTGTCGCCACCAGTCCAACACGATTCAAATTCCCAAAGCCTTTCTTCTGGCGGGCACTTATGAGCATCACCGATATCCCCCATTTCTGCAAACCCTGTATGCAGTCTGTCCGGGGGACATCTCCCTCAGAATTTTTTTTCTTTCATCACTGACCCTCACGCCTTCACCATGGTAGCAACTTGAGAGCCAGCAGAGTATCACAGCTTCGACGACATCTTTTATAGTGCACATGAATGACAATTTATCACTGGTTATGCAAGCAATAAACCACGAATCGCATTTTTACGAAAGGCACCTCAAGTCACATTTAGCGCACTATTCACACAGACGGTGCAATGCAATTGGCATCCTTCAACTGTTAAACTGTTGAACACTGCTTCCGGAAAAAAATTATACCTTGAGGCGGCACATAACATAAAGTTAATGTAAGAAAAACACTATAATAGAGTTTAAAAGGAATTTCAAGGCACTGATGTTATAAGGTACAACTAATGACCATACTTATGACCGTACATGTAATTATATTTTCCTCTCTTATTCCTGCTCTTACGATTTGATCTGCTGTATTCATCTTATTTTAAAAAGCTTTATTTAGTTATTTATTTATCTATTCTTTCATTTATTTATTTGTTTATTTATTATTATTATTATTATTATTATTATTATTATTAAAGAGCTTATGACCTCAAGTGTAATTACTGTACTATTCCTTTTAGGGATAATGACAATAATTCCCTGGAACTTACCACCAAAACTTCGCGTAAATTCGGTTGGCAATGAAGCCACAGAAGGAGTGCACTACTACGCCGAACTTTCCTCAATCCAGGACTGCCTCTACCGTAACATGTATGACTTCAAATACGTCGTGTTCGTCGATACGGACGAGTTCATCGTGCCAAGCATACAAAACGACTTATATTCTTTGTTAGAAAGTTTTCCGCAGGACCGTGCTGGGTATGCATTCGCCAAGAAAGAGTTCATAATAAGTCGAGCTTCTTTTGAAACATATCCTGCGGTGAAAGGAGAACTGGATACGAGGCTGTTACGTTATCGCCCGGCTTGTCTTTTAACTTCACGACGCTCGCGTCTGGTCCATTCGTTCAGAAAAAGGTGTTGTTACAAAACTATCGTTAAACCAGAGAAAATATGGATGATGGACATCCACTGGATCGAACGCGCCTCGGAAAGCACATTTAACGTAGATAGAAGCTTAGGGTCGTTGCATCACTTTAGACAACACTTAAAGGGGAGTAGAATCGTAACGGATACCTCGATGTTTAGATTCGGCGAAAAGATACTAGAAAACATTGACAAGGCAGTTCAGTATGTGAGGCGTACGTCTTGAGTCTTTCCTGACAATAAATGACGCTTTGGTTAGTTTCTCATTTTGTCATCCTTTAAACGCACAGGACGGAATACAAACCCCCTTTGCGTTCATTGTAAGATGGAAAACAAAACATAAAGCAGCGACGACATGATGAATGTCATGAAAAATATTTAATATGTTTGCTTTCTTATACTAAATGACAGTCATCAGCTTGTTTATGTTAATTGACAGTGAGATACAACACTTCCAGTTATAACGTCAATCAACATGGTATTTCAATGTTATTTACAAATATTGGATTTGATAGTTTGTTTATGAATAAATGTGTTGGGTAAGCTGCTGGTGAGGCTGGATGAAGAGAAGCGAACTTAATTTCACTAATCTGTCAAAACACACAATGTCAAAGAATATATATATATATATATATATATATATATATATATACGTCACCCTCCATCCCCAAACTGAGGAAAATTCCGAGATACACGAGAGATAACTAAAGGGTAAGCGTCGCGATAAAAGAAAAACGCGGGGTACAAAGATTGGCAAAGTAATTTCATACATTTGTCTAATACAGGTACGTGGGAAAGAGTGGAACAAATTTGCAAAGTCCGTTTAAAATACTGGATTTTAGTTTCACAAATGATGTCTAATCTGATTTTTTTTCTAATTCATATAAATCCTTTAAATTTTTGATTAACACCATACTGTACAGTCATGTTTAAATCATCTACACAGGAAAGGAAAATGGTGTCTTCAAACTCCAATGAACACAATTTTTTCCGACTGCCTAGTTTTGCAAGGAGAGGTTCTGTGACCTTGACACTGTGGCCTTGACACGGTACCCCCCAAGGCGGATTGCACGGCAATCCCTCCTCTGAAACGCGGTAACGGCGTTAATGTTCGTATTTCGTACCACAATACCCATATTCTTACAATGGTTGTAGAGGCTTGAAGACATTCAGTGCGTATACTTAAAGCCAAACCAGATAAATCAGTTCAAAATTTTATAACCAGCATCACCGTGCAGCTGTCATATGGGAGTATGTGTAGAAAACATCACTTTAACAGTCGGTAATACATTAAACAGGGACGAAGACGGGGAAGTTTCACTGTAAGTATGATGATGCTTCTTTCCCTACAGGTTTTTAGGTACAGGATACATCCCAGGAAATTTAATTTTAAAAAAATCAAAAAGTAAATAAGATCTCTTTCTAAAATGTTCTAACATTGTTTAAAACATGTTTAGAACACTCAAGAGAAAATGTCAACAAATTATTTGATAAAATAAAAAAGGGGCACGCTGAAAATGTATGTTTTTTTCTTAGAGAAAAACATGACTCGTCTTTAAATACCTGCTTTTTCAGATAAATGAAAACAAAAATAAAGTCGTCTCGAAAAAATAGTCATATATTTCAACATTTCGAATTACCAGTTGTGTCGCACTTCATAACTACAATATGAAAAAAATCATTTTATAACTCTATTTTTAATACTCCACCTTCTTCCCTTTCACATGTTTCATGTATTTCTGTGCCACGGTCATGATAAGGTATTATGTATTTATTTATTATTATAATCTTTTTTTTTTTATTTTTTTTATTTATCTTATTATTATTATTATTTTATTATTATTTTTTTTTTTTTTGCTCCACCAAATCTGTCGGGAGGTGAATAAATACTTGCTAGTGTCGCCCCCTTTAAGTGACGCCTGCATAACCATGCCCTACTAGTAAATTGTATATTTTGGTACCTGGGCTCATTTCGCTCTTTAGCTAAGCTTACAAAGTCTCTAATAATCAGACAGCCGATTCCGTTAAGCCGATTTTGCGATATTAGGTTGAGAGCCTTTTTTAAGAATGACTGCCCCACAGGGGGACTACCATTACTTGGGAAAAATAGTCCTACAGGGACTAAGGTTCCTGGCTCATAATTAGAGTAGGTAGGACTTGTATTACTGGCGGACTTTTATTCCTGTCCGGCCATTTGAAAGTCCTATCCTTACCCAATAATAGGCCTACAGTTAAATGATACAATTATAAATGTATATGAAATCCTCCCGGTGAGCCATGCATATCACACAAAAAATGGGCGGTTTGCAACTTCGACTCGTCTGAGTAGTGTTTAGCGTGCAAATCCGTAAGGCTAGTAGGCCTATTCATCGGTCTGTTATACCCCCGTCACACTAGAGGAGGAATGAGCAAGAAAGCCGCCGGAAAGACAATTCTTTGTGCGTTGCTGGATATTTGAAGAGCATTCTAAAAATTCCGAATGCATTCAATTTCAATATCAGAGGCGACACCGCTCTTGCCTAGTACGCGATGTGATAGTGACGATTCTCAGCGGGGTTGAAAAGCATTGCGTCACCACTCAAAATTTGTTCAGGTTATGATACTGTGTAATGCGTACTGACTCACACCTTGAAAACGGGTAGTGTGGTCTGTTCTACCGGTGAATTCAGGATCATTCGGTGCCGAGTCTGGTAGTTGGGTAGGCCTGTAGTTGGATCGATCTAATATCTGGGAATCGGGTCTAATTCTCGGGCACATGTGAGTATAACCGTGGTTGAGTACATTAGACACCGTGGAATACATGTACCCCTTAAAAGGGGGCATTCACGTCGAAAAGAGCGGAGGTCTAGTAAGGCCACGACCTAAATATGGCGGACCTACATGAAAGGAAGACAGCTAATCTTTTTATGGTCTCTTCGCTTCTCACAAGCTTCCCCATGCGCTGTCCCTCGACCGGTTGAATTCAGCTGAGATTTAATTACTGTGCTCCTGCAGGGACGACGCGTGGTGAGGATAAACAAGATTAGCGGTCTTCCTTTTATGTATGTCCGCCATATTTAGGTCGCGGCCTTACTAGACCTCGGCTGTTCTCAATGTGAATGCTCCCAAAAGGCTTTTATTCTTTAATGGATCAGACATTATTGGAGAGTTGACACGTGATTTTGTTTGGCAATAATGGTAGACTTTATAATGCCCATTATGAACCCAAAATAACTGAGATCTGGCGACTAATTGCAATTTTTTCCTAAAAACTCCAAAAGCTAGGTTTAAAACATAACAAAAAAAGTGAATTTTTAATGGCCGTTCTCTCAAAATGGCTACCACTTATACCTTTGACTATAAACCTTAATAACTTAATTTAAAAGGTACAGGAAATATTTACATCATTTTACAGAGGACATCTTGTAGTTTTTAAAGATGTATACATATCAATATCTCAAAAAATCAACTGATTCCTGATTTTGTCGTGATGGGTCACATATGACGTGTCTTGAAATATCTCACAACACAAGCATTCCATTGAGCCGTTAATTACTTTGCCTGTTATTATACAAACTAAAATTTAAATTCGTTTTTTTTTAGATCGTGTGTGTCAAAACGAAACAAACTTAAAAAAAAAAAAACACATAACAATGTGTGTTGCTTTGTCAATCTGAACTTAATATATTAATTTCCAACAGCATCGTAATTCAAAATTTTCAGAGTACGGCACGTTTTTTCCTCACTGGTCTTTTGGGAAGATTATTACGAAATCGTTGTTTCACGTGGGCCTTAATTTGTCACATGTAACGTTTATCTTCAGTGTGGTAGAGGAGATATAGACACAATGGCATGCATGCATAAAGCGGTGTCTTCCTTTATTGATTAAAAAGATGCATAGAGAAATATAATGGAATTTTGACAGATAGGATTTGAACTCTCTACTGACAAAACCCCTTTTACACTTGACGGCGTCCAGTCTGCGTCCTTTCTGCGACCAGGAAAGTGGCATAGCTATGGTTGTAGAAAGAAGGAGGAGATACGCATTTTGCAAGCAAAGACATTTTGCAACCGGTTCTTCAGCAGTCTTAGCTCAATATGTAAGTATAGCTGGGCCCCGTATCTCGAAAGCATCGCGTATTGCGAATCGCTATATCAAATAGAGACTACAATGTATTATATGGGACGAGTATGGGCGAGTTATGGAATCGAGACGCTTGCGCACGTGCGCAACATAGCGAACCTTTCGAGATACGGAGCCCTGGGCATTTTCTACTGTTCGGCCTGCACTCAAAGGCAGCATCAGCGGCTCCTGGTAGCAGCGGCAGTGACTCTCACCGGTCCTCGTCTCAGCGGTCTACCCGGCAGCCTTAGGCTCTTTTCCCATAGATTTTAGATCGATCTATCCCCGCGGGGAGTCTCACTAGATTACTGTCAGATAATCCGGCTTAAATGTCCGTCCCGCCTACTACAAGCTGTAAGGGGGTAATTAACTTTCGTGTCCGCTCGGCTGACAGCTATTTAGCGTGAACCCCCAGGGAGTTAGGCCGCAGCCGTAGTAGACATCAGCAGTCTCAGCATCAGTGGTTCTCTCACCGGTGAAACGAAAAGGAGAGTCCTAAAGCTGACAGTCTGCAAGTTCCGAATCCTAATGTCCGGGGGACACTGCATTTTGAAACGTAGGGACCCCGGACCGCCTATAGGGTTAGTTATATTGTACCTGATCCCATGGTTAACAACTGCTAACAGGAATAGGGTGGAGGGTAGGAGCACTGTTTTTAACTTTTCTGATATTGACTTGACACTTGTGGCACGTAACTATGTAGTTTCTTATGCCAGTGGTCATGTATGGCCAGTAGTAGCGTGCCTCTACCTTCAATATAGTTTTCGTGACTCCAAGTGTCCACATGAAAGCAACAGTACCCCCTGTTATAGAAAGAAATTATTTCAAACATTATTTTAGGAAATATGCATTTTGAAGTTACGGTAATTCAGGGTTTGACACGATCTTCTGTCAGACATAAGTAAAAAAACTAACATTTATATATTGTAAATCGATTTTATCATACTTTCATTGTGCAGCTGCTGTATTATGATAGTCATTTCCTCCTTATTTTCTCCTTCCCAGTTAACAAAAGCAATGTCGGTTGTCAGGCCAGCCAATACTGGTACCTCCAAATCCCCTACATCAACATCCTATAAAGAGGAATCGCTAACTGCAGCACAGCCTGACTTGGACATACATCAAAATATGACATCCGATTTTTTCATGGTCTGGTCGCATTATGCCGCAATTCCACAAACGTTTATGGATAAACTAGAGACCTTTCTCCAGTTAAATCCAGGGAAACGCGTTATATTTTTTATGTGGAAGCAGTGGATGTATAGATCAAATAGACGCCAAGTCATGGAAACAAGTAACAGTATTTCGTTTACTGGTGTCTGAGTTAACCCAGGGCACACCACTAGACGATTTTGTCTGTAAATCCGACATTCTGAAATTGTTCATGTGTCGTAAATTTATGGCAGTCGTACATGAAATAAGTGTTTTACTTGTAATGTGGAGATTTGGTGGACTTTACATGGATGTAAAAAGATTAGTGCCGTCAAATTTATCAGATGAATATTTCACAGGGGAATGGATGGCCACTGAAGGCGTCTTTTTCGGGCCAGGTTTGAAAGACATTCGTTGTTCGTCAAAAATGCAATGGTCGAGATTCAGTCGGCCTACAGAAGACTCAGTAGAAGCAAAATCCAAAATTGGGACACTGCTTCAGTCTAACTGAAGTCAAAGGTTCTAAGCCAGGTAGATGACAGACAGATTGAAAAGGATAGTACAGATCCTGCATTACCCTTTTTGCAAGATGAACGCTTTGGGATCC